AGAAAAAGGGAAGGTTGACAGCTATGGTGAGATCCAGGGGTCCTGCATGCCCTCCAGCACTTCTCAGCACTGGGGGAGGAAGGTGGGTGTGGGGGATGCAGTGCGCACCAGGTGACAGCTGTGAGGGTGGGTGACATCGCCGCGCCACCCCAAACCCCACCCCACGCTCGCTGCATGGTCAGCAAGCCACTAGGGGCTATGCTGCCGCGGGCGGCTAGCAGCGCCCTCCCCCCACGCTCACCATAGGGGCGGCTGGCCCCGCCCCCACGCCACTCCAGGTGCTGGGGCAGGTAGCTCCGCCCCTGTTTCTCTCTCTCTCTCTCTCTCTCTCTCTCTCTCTCTCCTTTTGAATTCACATTTTATTTATTTGTTAACCTTCTTACATTACATCGGTAAGCGTTGTCATATTAAGACGTGGAGGAAGAAGGAAAAGCGGGACTTTCAGGGATCAAAACAGAATCTGAGATGGCTGATGAAATTCCGGGACTGTCCCTGGGGAAAAGGGGCACTTGGAGGGTCTTGGCCTTGGCATAACCAAGTGGCATAATTGGTGCCTCCCTTTGGAAGGAGGCACAGCGGAGACTGAAGTGTCTTTAAGAAATATGGCTTATTTCCACCTGAGTTTTTGCAGCTGGAGAACAGAACACCACACCCCAAGAGTGCTGTCCTCATAGCTTCAGCAAACTTGTGTCCACCAAAGCCAGCCATGCTCCCTGGTCTCTCAGTGCAGCCTCTCACAAGGAGCTCTGGCTCTCCCTTCTTCTTCCCCAAAACCCTTGCTCCAAAGCACAACTCGAGCCTCGTGTAGAAAGGGCATCTTTTTTCTCTCCCTGTGGTGACATCACGCCCCCTGTAACCCTTGGCAACTTCCCCCTCCAGGCTCTGCTGTTGTCTTATTTCTAACTAGCACCCAGCTTGGGAAGGAACTTCTTCTCTGACACTGAATGTCTCGCCTTTTGTCCAGGTAATGACACTGTCCTCACCTGTCTTTGCTCTTTGATGGGATCTCTGTAAGAGCCAAGCTCCAGAGGAAGCTGGCTTGACTTGTTTCTTTAAAGGTAAAGGGTAAAGGGACCCCTGACCATTAGGTCCAGTCGCGGATGACTCTGGGGTTGTGGCGCTCATCTCGCTTTATTGGCCGAGGGAGCCGGCGTACAGCTTCCGGGTCATGTGGCCAGCGTGACTAAACCGCTTCTGGCGAACCTGAGCAGCGCACAGAAATGCTGTTTACCTTCCTGCCGGAGCAGTACCTATTTATCTAATTGCACTTTGACATGCTTTCAAACTGCACTGTGGGGTGTAATCCATTGGAGCAGTCAAATACAACAATCCTTGTTTCCCTAGATGGGCTCAGGCAGGTAGATGTTACTCCAGCTAGTATGACTTCCTATTACATGTGACCACAGAGATGGGCACAGCCCTGGCTGACTCCATAAAACAGCCGAGTCACGCAGCCAGTTTCTCTCTCTTGCTGCTATGCTGCTCTCCTGCAGCCATTTTATTAATGTAAATTTTGCTGTCTGCTGGCTCTCAGCCAGCAACACATGAGCTCAAGCTCCATATGAGATGAGCTCACGGTTTGTTATGTAATTCCCAAGCAAAGCCTGCCTTTCGGGGATCTAATCGTGAACTGAAATGTGAGTAAACTTCTTGTTATTTTTAAGGAAAGGCTCTTGTGTCTTTATACTTTCAAGAGGTATAAAAGGGGACACCAGGAATAGTCCATCTGGGCAAGCCACATTGGAGTACTTAACTAAAGAGATTCAAACGAATCTGCAAACTGGCTTCCAGCTATATTGAGGGGAATGTGATCTGCTACATCACCCACTAGCGTGAGTGAAGGAAGGATAATTCTTATTCAGTATATCCTTTCCTGCTATCCCTAACATTCCTACAAGAATCGTGTTGGAAGAGACCTCGGGGTCATCTAGCCCAACCCCCTGCAATGCAAGAATCTCAGCTGACGGAAACTCAACTAAAGCATCCATGGCAGATGGCCATCCAGCCTTTCCATTGATGAAACCCCACACATAATCATAGAATTACAGAACTGGAAGGGACCATCCAATCTGCAATGCAGGAATCTTTTGCAACCCTGAGATTGAGAGTCTCATGCTCTACTGACTGAACTATCCCAGGCGATGCATGTATTTTAGACATTAAGGGGAGAACCAGGGACCCAGCAGTTATAGGGGATCCTTGTCCTATAATTCTGCTTTGAATGGGTTCTCCAGATTCACAGGCAAGCTCCTCAAAATGGCAATTTGCTCCCCCCACCTAAAAAAATAAAATGTTATCCTCTAGGCAGGTACAAAGACAACAGCTCATACGCTTCAGTGGTCCCTGTTTACCAGAGTGTTGTCCCACTTTACTGGTAAGCAGCTGTCCCCGTTTTTTTAGGCAAATGCTTGACTATGAATATGAATGTGAGCATTTGCAATGAGAAACAGCCCTTCTAAATCCATTGCTCCATTTGCAAGGGGGAAATTTGAGGGGAGGGGCAGCCGGGGGAGGGCCCATGCGGTGTAAGGGTTAGCATGTTGGACTAGGAACTGGGAGACCCGGGTTCAAATCCCCCATGGCCACAAAGCTCGCTGGATGACCTTGGGGGGCCAGTCACTCCTTCTCAGCCTAACTCTCCCTCACTGGGTTGTTGTAAGGGTAAAATGGGGGGGGGGGTAAAATGGGGGGTGTTATGTACTGAAGTTTTCACCCTGGGCCAGCAGGGGGATACTGTAGATAGTTATGCAAATAAAGGATTGAAAGTGACGTTCAGTGATTGGATAGTTTTAGAAAGTTGCTACAGTAACGTTGTACTGGAGCTCTATATAAACAGGCTGACTGAGCCCTTCAGTTCAGTTCTGTTCTGGCCTGTGAATAAACAAGAGCTGTTTGAAGAATTGCTGTGTCGTCTGATATGTTCACCCACAACTTAACAGGGGGGGCTACTTAACAGGTGGGATGTAAATGTAATTGACAATTAAATATACAGTCATACCTCGGGTTACAGACGCTTCAGGTTGTGTTTTTTCGGGTTACGGACCGCCGAAACCCGGAAGTACCGGAATGGGTTGCTTCCAGGTTTTGGCGCTCGTGCATGCACAAAAGCACTAAACTGCGCTTTGCACATGTGCAGAAGCGCCGGATCGCAACTCAGGTTGTGAACGTGCATCCCACACGGATCCCATTTGCAACCCGAGCGTCCCCTGTAATTAAGCCAAAGCACACCCTTTCCCGACCTCCATTCCTCCCCCTTCCTGTGCTGTTTCCTTGGGCCTGTTTTAGACTGTAAGCCCCTTGGGGCAGAGACTGGTTCTTTTTCAAGGGCCACGCATGTAGGGCAACGGCAATACCATAGTCAACAAAAAGAACCACAAATCATCTCATTGCAGTGTAGTGCAGTAATAAAACCCCTAGCTGCACATTTGCCAAAGCTAAGCAGGGTCTGGTATGGTTTCAGACAGGAAGGCTGGGTGTTGTGATCCCTGCATTGCAAAGGGTTGGACTAGAGGACCTTTGAGGGGACCCCCTCCAACTCTACGATTCTGTGATCTGCTCCACAACCGAACCTTGGTCTCCTGTTAGCAAATGGGCATGTTTTTACGTCACTCTCGCCCATAACAATCCGTTCCTCGTTCCACTGTTAACAGGGGCTTAGCTTTTCCAAAAGCTCCTGGAGGCTGCCATTTTCCTTTCCCAGAATGCCCTGGGTGCTCTGTTGTCCCACTGCATTTAGTATAGGGGCATGGCAGTCACCCATGGGTGGGGTGAAATTTCCTTTCCCTACAAAGACCAGGAGCGCCACTTGTGTTACATCACGAACATAGGTAGTTGCCCTACTCCGAGCCAGACCATTGCTCCACCTACCTCATCACTGTCCTACACGGGCTGGCAGCAACTCTTTCCGGGATTTAGCCTGGGCCTCCCACCCACCCCAAAAATGTCCTAATAATGTCAAAGAAAGATAAACACAGACCAAAATTTTGCCGAAATGAACACCATCGCCTCTGTAATGAACAAACAACGAACCGCATGTCGTCTTAAAGAACAAATAACCACAAGAGAAAGGTCTACGAAAAGGAAGAAAAATGAATGTAATGCTATATAATATTTTTAGGGGGGGGGAGAGAAATCTTGCACGCTTGCAAGGCCAAATGTATTCGGGAACGGACTAGTCAGCTTTCTTTGTAACCGAAAGCGTCAGGGAGAGGAGGCGGGGAATCTTCCTCCATCTCGGGAGAAAACTCATTTCCAGTCGGCTGCGGCTGCTTCCCTGGGAGATAAGCGAACGCTCGCCAAGTGCCGTCCCTAATGGACTTTGCTAAATTTCTGATAGACTCTCATTTGTTTTTATTATCTCCCTCTTTGCGGAGAGGGAGGGTGAGAACCAGAATTTGTGCATGGCGACACATTCCGATCAGACAAGGACCCGAGATCGCAGCAGTAATTTGAAGCTGGTGATGTCCTTGGCTGCTCCGATGGGGACAGGCCTGACCTCTGGGTGAACCTCAGTGACCACGTTGGACAGCCAGCCTTGGTGTGTGTGTGTGTGTGTGTGTGTGTGTGTTAATACTGCTCTGGGGGTCATGGAGCAGTTAGGATTGCCAAACCTCCAGCTCTGACCTGAAGTCCTCAGGTTTTCCCAGCCTCCTCCAGGTGCCCGGGGGGCAGGTGGAGGGCCTGAATCTCCAAGGCTGCCCTTATTTTAAAATATATATATGTATATTTAACAATATACATATATCTGCTTGTGCAGATTGCAAGCGTCAACCCAGCAGGAGTTGGCTGCAAATTGTAGCATTCCCACCCTGGGTGACGTCTGCCTTCCTCTGCTCCCTTCTCCCAATTAACCTCCGTCTCCAGGGCTTGGCACATCTTTTGCAGGCAGAAGGCCACAATCTCTGGCATCTCCAGGTACAGCTGGAAAAGACTCATGGAATCAAAGTTGGAAGGGATCCCAAGGGCCATCTATTCCAAGCCCCTGCAATGCAGGAATGTTTTGCCCAATGTGGGGCTCGAACCCAAAACCTGGCCTGAGTTTAAGAGTCTCATGCTCTACTGACTGAGGGCTTAACTCAGCAGAAGGCAGCTTCCTATGCTCTTAACTATAACCCACAATCACTTTCTGGATTAAAGGCACCCAGTTCACAACCACCATTCTCTGCTCCCTTCTCCCAATTAACCTCCTTCTCCTGGGCTCGGCACATCCTTTGCATGGAGAAGGTCCCAGGTTCCACCTCCTGGCATCTCCAGGTAGAGCTGGGGATGCCCCCTGTATGAAACCCTCATGAACCACTGCCAACCTTGAGCTGAACGCGCCAACAGTCTGACTTTGCAACAAGGCACCTCTCTGCGTTCGGCGCGGGACGGGTCCACGGAGTCACAGAAGACATTAAATCAGTCCCTTCTCCAAAGGCACGTAGGCTGTGTGTCAGAGGAGAGCTAAACCGATTGTAAACTCATCAGCAGCGAACAAAAGATCAAAGAAGAGAAAACAATTACAAGGAGATTGAAATGGACAAACGAGCTGGGCTCCAGGGGAAACAAGGCTTAACGGCCTGGGGTCAGGGGATTGTTTGGGGGGTGAGATAAGTGGGCAGAATGAATTAGCATTGGGGGAGAAGTGTGTTACGAGCAGGCTGGCTCTGGAAACATCAGCTTCATTGGGGCTGCAGCCTTTCCCTCAAAGAATGCTGGGCAATGTAACAGTGTGTGTGTAACCTTAGTTTAAGGCATTCCTCATAGAATCATGGGTGGCGCTGTGGGTTAAACCACAGAGCCTAGGACTTGTTGATCAGAAGGTCAGCGGTTCGAATCCCTGCGACGGGGTGAGCTCCCGTTGCTCGGTCCCTGCTGCTGCCAACCTAGCAGTTCGAAAGCACCTCAAAGTGCAAGTAGATAAATAGGTACCACTCCAGCAGGAAGGTAAATGGCATTTCCATCCACTGCTCTGGTTCGCCAGAAGCGGCTTAGTCCTGCTGGCCACATGACCCGGAAGCTGTACGCTGGCTCCCTCAGCCAATAAAGCGAGATGAGCGCCGCAACCCCAGAGTCGGTCACAACTGGACCTAATGGTCAGGGGTCCCTTTACATAGAATCATATGGAAGGGACCCCTAGGGTCATCTAGTCCAACCCCCAGAAATGCAGGAATCACAGCTCTAGAATCCCTGACAGATGGCCACCCAACCTCTCCTTAAAAACCTCCAAGGAAGGAGAGTCCACCACCCTCCGAGGCAATTCGTTCTACTTTTGAATGGCTCTTACCAACAAAAGTTTCTTCCTGATGTTCAGACAGAATCTCATTTCTTGCGATCTGAATCCACGTATTGCAAGAGTTTGAAACAAGGAGCAACAGTTTTCCCAACATCGCTGTCGTTATCTTTTTTTTTTTAAGCAGGTGCTTTTTATTGAGATTTAAGAACACTAACACCAACCAACAAAAACATCAAATCTTATTACATATTACATATATCCTACTTTATGCTCTATAGAGCTGTTGACTTCCGTCCTTCCCTTCCGCAGGTTTTCTTCTATAATTCACAGTTTCATTGGTTAAAAATTACTCCGTGACATAAGATATAATTCAATCCTGCCAATGTTTTCATATTTCTACAGTTCTCACTCAAGCCGAAAAGGGTACCTCGCCCTGTTCTAGTTTCACAAAAGAGAGAAGAGGTTTGGGGGATATTCTGTTTCCAGGAATGTCAGGAATGTAGGGGAATCACAGAATCCCCCTCATTAAGGTCAGGCCGAGAGGCAGCGACTTTGCCCCCAAGGTCACATCCGGTGAGTTTCATGGCTGAGTGGGGATTTGAACCCAGGTCTCCTGGCTCTTAGTTTAGCATTCTAACCACTGTACCACGCTGGCTCTCTTGGCACCATGGAGCCACGGGGAAGAATGTGGGGGCCTTGCGTTGATGTGAATATTTCCCACTGCAGGAACAATGTGGGTGAAGACGCTCCTTCAGATATACTGGACCGAGGCCGTTTAGGGCTTCAAAGGTCAGCACCAACACTTTGAATTGTGCTCGGAAACGTACTGGGAGCCAATGTAGGTCTTTCAAGACTGGTGTTATGTGGTCTCGGCGGCCGCTCCCAGTCACCAGTCTAGCTGCCGCATTCTGGATTAGTTGTAGTTTCTGGCTCACCTTCAAAGGTAGCGCCACATAGAGCGCATTGCAGTAGTCCAAGCAGGAGATAACTAGAGCATGCACCACTCTGGCGAGGCAGTCTGTGGGCAGGGAGGGTCTCATCCTGCGTACCAGATGGAGCTGGTAGACAGCCGCCCTGGACACAGAACTGACCTGCACCTCCATGGACAGCTGTGAGTCCAGAATGACTCCCAGGCTGCGCACCTGGTCCTTCAGGGGCACAGTTACCCCATTCAGGACCAGGCAGTCCTCCACACCTGTTAGCCCCCTGTCCCCCCGAAACAGTACTTCTGTCTTGTCAGGATTCAACCTCAATCTTTTAGCCGCCATCCATCCTCCAACCGCCTCCAGACACTCACACAGGACCTTCACCGCCTTTGCTGGTTCCAATTTAAAAGAGAGGTAGAGCTGGGTTTCATGATACGATACAATAATCTTTATTGTCATTGTTCCATACAGAACAACAAAACGGAAAATTTCGTTCACCACCACCACCAATCCTGTAAGTCTCAGCAAAGGTGTCGTTTGCCTTTTCTGTCTTGTTGTGCAGAGAGAGAGAGGCAGGCATCTCCTCCCTTTCCCCCTCTGATTAAGCATGCAGGAGACGAGATTGCTCTTCCAATAACATACAAGTTTTCAATCTTTTTTTTATGTACACAAGTAATTCCATCTAAATGGAAGGTTGCCTGAGCTGGACTCCCGTCCATAAATCTGATAATGTTGATTTGCTAATGAATTAGGGAGGCCTCCTTCTTCCTGCCTTCACAGCTCGCTGTACCAAAAAGAAGGAAAGGAAAGGAAAAAAACCTCACCCAGATTTATTCTTCCCTTCCTCATCAGTTATTTGTACTGTGTTCGTGTGTGTGTGTGTGTGTGTGTGTGTGTGTGTGTGTGTGTGTTGCGACTTTTGCACATCCATGGGGAAAGGTGAGCATTTGGATAAACTGCCAACCGCTATCAGAAAATTAGAACTGCTCGCCTTTCGAGTCACGTAACACCTAAACAATAGGAAGCCCTTCGTTCAAATCTTGACATTTCATATTCATTCCCCGAAGTGGCCCTGGGCAAGCACCTCTCTCTCTCTCTCTCTCTCTCTCTCTCTCTCTCTCTCTCTCTCTCTCACTCTCACTCTCTCTCTCTGACTCAGCAACCTGTATCCGAAATAAGAGGCTGCCAATACGCACCTACTGTGCAAGGTTATTGTTAAGTTGTGGGTGAACATATCAGACGACACAGCGATTCTTCAAACAGCTCTTGTTTATTCACAGGCCAGAACAGAACTGAACCGAAGGGTTCAGCCAACCTGCTTATATAGAGCTCCACTACAAAGCAACAGTAACAACTTTCTGTAACTACCCAATCACTGAACGTCGCTTTCATTTCCTTATTTGCATATGCGGACCTGAGTGAAAACTATCTACAGTATCCCCCCTGCTGGCCCAGGGTGAGAACTTCAGTACATAACAGTTAGTGTAAGGCAGAGAGCCACTGACTGATGGAAAAGTCAGTTGGGGGAGGCAACATGCATCTTTGGGCGGAGCTAGATCTGATGGTGGGTGGAGCCAGAGTCAGAAGTGGGCGGAGCCTGCCTTGCAGAATTGTGTGTGTGTGCGCATGCATTCAGGAGGGAATGCACACACGCGCACATGCAATTCCGCAAAACAGCTCATGATGATTTCTAACTGTCGCCCCACATTTCTCTCTCTCATCACCAAGGATCTGAACTGATTCCTTGCAGAGGTCCAGGAACTGCTGTATGTTAAGTCAGACTCTGACTCTGAATCCGGGGAAAAGGTTGCAGGTTTTACACAGCAGGGATGGCTGTTGTTGTTTAGTCGTTTAGTCGTGTCCGACTCTTCGTGACCCCCTGGACCAGAGCACGCCAGGCACTCCTGTCTTCCACTGCCTCCCGCAGCTTGGTCAAACTCATGCTGGTAGCCTCAAGAACACCGTCCAACCATCTCGTCCTCTGCCGTCCCCTTCTCCTTGTGCCCTCCTTCTTTCCCAACATCAGGGTCTTTTCCAGGGAGTCTTCCCTTCTCATGAGGTGGCCAAAGTACTGGAGCCTCAGCTTCACGATTTGTCCTTCCAGTGAGCACTCAGGGCCGATTTCCTTCAGAATGGATAGGGTTGATCTTCTTGCAGTCCATGGGACTCTCAAGAGTCCCCTCCAGCACCAGTTGTTTTTCTCTTTGACATCTGGTGGGAGGGCGTTCCACAGGGCGGGTGCCACTACCGAGAAGGCCCTCTGCCTGGTTCCCTGTAACTTGGCTTCTCACAGCGAGGGAACCACCAGAAGGCCCTCTGCGCTGGACCTCCGTGTCCGGGCTGAACGATGGGGGTGGAGACGCTCCTTCAGGTATCCTGGACCAAGGCCATTTAGGGCTTTAAAGGTCAACACCAACACTTTGAATTGTGCTTGGAAATGTACTGGGAGCCAGTGTTCGCCTATACGAAACCTGACCTCAGTCTGCTGCGATTTTGCTTCCCACCTGACTCTTTGCTGTGACTTCTGCTTAATTGGACTCGGATGAACTTGGGCCAGCTCCGGATCCTGGCCCGCCTTGCTGCTCACCTTGATTTTGCAAGTCACCTGAGTTACTCAGGGGAACCCATTGAGAACAGGACATTATTATTACAGGAGGAGGTTATCTTCCTCTCCCCCCCCCCCGGCACAGTCCCTGCTGATGCACGGCGGTGTCTAGTTAATAAGGCTCTTGTTTCAATGTCATGGAACACAGAACTAAAATATGAAAACTTCTTGGCATTTTTCAAGAAATTACAGAAATTCCCAAGTGCTATGGCTACGTGCAATGGAATGGGGGGGGAGGGGGACGACATGATCGCAGAAAACTGCTGGTGAGCTGTGGATGGGACACAAGAGGCCAAGGAGGTTCCAGCTGGGCGGAGATCGTAGAATCGTAGAGT